ACCGAGCCGCATTTGGGGATACGAAAAGGTACTGATACCGCTACTCCCCAGACCTCTCCCGGAGCGCATGTGACGAGGAATTGAAGGCGGATCCTGCGGTGGCGACGAGGGCCTCCCAAGAAACCCACAAAGGGGAAAACGGGTGAAGGGTAGAGGCTCTCACTCCTCCGAGCATCGTCGATGCATCGGCGATGCGGCGCGAGCCTTCGACTCCGCCTGTTCGGATCCCCGTTGCGGAGGCCTGGAGACGAGGAGGGACGGCCCAGAGGCCTCCTCGCGCCCAGGGGTCCGAAGGGTCCTGGGTACCTTGTTTTTGTTTTGCTTTCCATGGCGCGTTTGCAGATGCCCCTCGGGTTTCCGAGCCCCTCGGGGTGTTTTTCAGCAGCTGCGCTTCGCCGAGGGCGCGAGGCTCATACGTTGGGGCGCGGGCCCCGCCTTACGGCCCGCACTGTGATAGGCCGCAAGCCCCGCAAGCGTGTTCGCACAACTCCGCATCACGAACACTTCTTTGATTCTAGCTCTGCGAACGCTGCTTTGTAATTCCATCCCGACGCGCATCCTCCAGCACCACTTCATTTTGAAACATGTCTGAATCACATCAGGCATGCAACTTGTTACGGACCCTTTTGGCAAATTCACCACCTCCAAGAGGCATACCGTGACAGACACATTTTGCTTCTACGAAGAATGTCGTCGCAAAGCGGGTCATCGGTGCTTCCGCTGGAGAGAAAGGCGTCCTGGGGGTGCCTGAGTCGCCCCGCAAAGTCGCCAGAGACCCAAGTTATTTTTTTGCCCGACAGCCCCGCCAGCCTCGCGCCACGAGGGGGCCGCGGGGCCGTCAAGAACACTACCATAAACCTCCTCGATGGGGTCCGAGCAAATAGGGTCGGATAATCTCGCCGCATCGCCGACACATCGGAAATGCATCGGCCATGCGCTGGCGACGCCGGCGATGCATCGACGACGTCGGCATGGAGAAACTTGGGCCCCATATAGAGCCGCATCGCCGATGCATCGGCGATGCGTCGCGATCCTTCGACCCCATCCACTCCGACCCCAGACCGTGAAGGTATTTTTCTCTCTTCGCGACCGAGGCCTTGTTAATTCACATGCAACAACCTCAGCGAGCGGAGACCGCTCACGCTCGCTGCCAACTGCCGATGAGTTCCCGGAGGGCCCGTCGGATCCCGGCCGAACTCCACGGCGCAGGAACAATTCACTGAGCCTCAGCAGCCGCCCTAAGGCCTAAGGAACGGGCGGCGTTCAGGATCCAGCGGTCGGCGGCAGGGCCGCTCTCGTTGAACGCCGCCAGTTGCAGCGCCGTCCGAAAGGCGTCGGCAGCGCCCATCAGTCCCAAATGGCTGAGGGAGGCACCGCTGAGGCACAGCGCCTGCCAGTTGCCACGCTGAAGGCTGAGAGCTCCAACGAAGCCCCGAAGGGCGATCCGCATCAGGCCCTCGGATCGAGCGCGCCCTCGGATGATGGCGACGAGGGCCCAGCTGGAGCGTGCCCAAGGACTCTGGCGAGGCCAGAGGCTAGCTCCTGGTCGGGGCCGAGGGGGGTGCTGCGCATGCCGTCGCCGAGGGCTGTTGTCGGCTAAACAATGCGCTTGCTTCCCCTGGGCTCGGGGTCCGAGGGGCGCGCCGGGCCGCGCAGCGGGATCTCGGCAGCCGCCGCCCCCGCCGCTGCCGGAGAAGAGCCCGCGCCGCGCGGCCGAGCGGGTGAGGGTGGGGCCCTCGGGGGCGCCGCAGTCGCCGAAGGCGCCGCCGCCTGTCCGCCCGCCGCCGAGCCAGACGCGGCGGCCGCCGCAGCGCCTGAAGCCCCGTCGCGCGCACCACCATAGGCATTCCGACCGTCGCCAGGCGCGGAGTTCGGAAGCGCAGCCGCGCCGGGTGGCGGGGCAGCGGGGGCGCGAGAGGCCGCCGCCGAGCCGAGCGCCACAGCCAGCGCCGCGCCCACTCGCGCGGGATGGCGCCCGCGGTGCTGGCGGGCGCTGAAGGCGCGGAGCAGCGCCTGGGCGGCTCGCGCCTGCGCGCGCCTGGCCTGGGCGCGGCGCTCGGCAGCCAGGGCGGGGCCGACGTCCCCGACCGCGGAGGGGCGCCGCAGAGGAATGGCGGGGAGAGGGCCCGCGGGGGACAGCGGCCGAGGGGCCGCCTGGCGCCGACTCGCAGGCCGCGCGCCGGGCGACAGCCTGGGCCGAGTTGGCGCCACCGTGACGGCATTTTTTTTGCACTTCGAGGGTGGGCGGACCCGCCCGCGATTCGAAATTCACATGCAGCCCTAGGCCCGCGCGCAGGCCGCCGCCTCCGAGCGGCGCCTCGCCGCGCGCCCACAGCTCCCAGTAGCAGCGGGTGGAGGGCACTCGCGCCCGCTGGCCTCGGACACCTCGCGGGGCGTCTAGGTTGCGATCTCGCCGCGCGGCCTGCATAGCTCCACGCGGTAAGCCGTCGCCAAGCCGCCCAGCCCCTCGCGCGGGCGGGCTCGGCGGGGCCCCCGCGACGGGCTGCGCCCCGCGCCCCGCCGGCCGCGGCGCCGAGGAGCTGCCGGGGCTTGGAGGCCGTGGCCGCGACGCCCGCGGCGTCGCGCTTGTCCCTCCGCCCCTGGGCCACCTTCACGAGCTGGACAATGAAGGCCCTGGCGGTCGCCTTGGCCCAGGGCGACCGCGCCGCGCCCCTGGCCCCCAGCCGCTCGAAGACGTCGAGGACAGTGTCCTTGGGGAGGTCCATGCCCGCAAGGATGTCGACGACGTGCCCCTTGAGCTCGGTCTCCGACCGCGCCCTGAAGAAGTCGCTAGCCAGCTCCTCGTCGGCGGCGTCGGGGCTGGACTCGTCGTAGTCCACCTGCAGCTTGGCGCCGCCCCCCAGCTTCGCGGCGCCCTGCCCCCTGCCGCTCTGCCCGAACCTGTCGTGCCGCTCAGAGTCGTGCTCGCCCTTCTCGCTGGTGCGCTGCTCGACTCTGTCCTCCTGGCTCGGCTTGTCCATCCCCTGCTCCAGGTTCGGCAGCGCCTGGCCCGTGAGATCGCAGCGCGCGCGTTGCTCGTCAGTGCGCGCTCCACAGGCCGCGCCGCCGCCTCCAGGCAGCAGGTCCCGATGGTCACCACAATGCCCTTGATCGCGCCGTCGCCGTCGGCGGCCTCCTTGTCCTCCTGCTTTGCGTCAAAGCCCTTGGCGCTGGAGACTGCCTTGGCCAACGCGGCCCGCGGCCTCGCGCCCTGGGTGTCCGATCCGCGCTTGAGGATCTCCATGGCCCCCACCCCCACGACAGCGTCCTCGTCTTTCACGTTGCGCTGACTGCCGACCGCCTCGACCGCCTCGGCCAACCGCCAACCCGCAGCCAATCCCTCCGTGAAGGCCTTCGCCTCCGCGTTCAGGTCGGCTACCTGCCATGTTCCTGGCGGCAGCTCGCATCCTCCGAGCTGCGGCAGCGTTCCACTGCCTCCCGCCCAGACGTCGAGCTCCCCCCCGTCCTCCAGCCCCTCCAGCACCAAAAGGGCGGGGGCGGGAGACGCCTCCTCAAGCTCCTTCTCCTCGCACTCGCTCTGCATGGACCCCAGCTTCGCGGAGTGGAGCCCGTCCGCCAAGTTGAGCAGCTGTGGCTCGAGCTCAGCCTCGTGAAGAACCTTCACCCCGAACTCGGGCCACATGCTGCCCCCCGTGTAGGTCTTCAGCTTCGCCTCCCAGTTCACGCTGAGCGGCGCCGAAACCCACTGCATCTGCTCGCACTCGTTCCCAGCAGCCCTGTTAGCCAAACCGCCCGCGTCGCCGCTCGCCACGTGCGCGGCGTGCTCCGCCTCGACCAGGAAGCCCAGGCGGGGCCCCCGCGCCGCCTCCGCGATCTCCTCGGCAGACGCCCTGAAGAAACCGCTCGGAGGGGCGCAGGCTGCGTGGAGGGCCGCGTTGCGGCGCTGGCGAGACGCCCCCGCCACCCGCCGGCCCTCCACCGCGCTGACCAACGCCGGCCTGGCCGCGCGCTCGCGGTCCTGCCATGACCCTGGCCTGCAGGGGCCCGCCACGGCATGGCACCAGGCCTCCAGCGCTCCCAAGCGCCGCCGCCTGGCCGCCCGCCTCGCCGCAAAGGGGCCCAGCACCAGAATCTCCTGCTGCCTGAGCGCCTTGGGCTGCCAGCTGGCTGGCCGCCCCCCGCAGCCAGTGCGCCCCGCCGCCCAGGCCGCCGCCATCGCATAGAGGAAGCGCGCCGCCGCGGGGGACCCAGCTTGAGCCAAAATGGCTACGGACCGTGAGGGCATTTTTATCTATGTGGGCGCCGAGCGGGCTCGGCGGTTTCATGCATAAATTCTCCGATCAGCGCACGGCGAGCCCCGCCGCGCGGCGTGCGCGGGCGGCCGCCGACCCCGCGGCTCTCTCGCGCCCGCGGGCCGCCGCAGCAACTGCGAAGCCGCGGGCGCAGAGGGCGCCCTCGAGCCCTGGGCGGACCTGCCGCGGCTCTTCGGCCTCCGCCCGCGGGGCCGCCGCGACCAGGCGCCGCGGCGCCGCGGCGCGCGGCGGCGCTGCCGCCTGGCCCCCATCGCCAGCCGCAGGTGGCGGGGGCGGGGCGGCCGCAGGCTGCCGCTGCGATGGCACGGGCGCCGCCGCGAGCGCCTGCTCCTCCGCCCCGTGGCCCAGCCTGGCCTGGAGCGCCGTCGCCCAGCACAGGCGCGTGCTCTCCATCGGCGGGGCCAGCGGCGCGAACGGATCCTTGGACGCAGGCAGGGTGCCCCGTGCGAAGTCCGTCCGCGCCTGGGCTCGGGGGCCCCTCAGGGACGTGGGCTGCCCAGCCGCCGCGCTGGCCCCACACGGCATGGCCAGGCCGCGATGCGCGCACCTGGGGAGGCGGCAGTACCCCCAGCACGCTGAGCAGACCAGGGGGGGCTCGGAGCCGTTGCCCTCGACGCGCGACCCCCGCATGAGGTGGCCGTAGACCCTCAATCCCGCTGGACGGGCCGCATCAGCCGCCACCTCAGGGGCTGGGCCGCTGCAAGCCGCCGCTGCCGCCGCCCGCCGCGGGCTGGGCGCGGGCGCCGAGGCCTCGCGGCGCCACGACTGCTCCTGCGCCCTGCGCTGGGGTGCTCGGCGCAGCACCTCCGCGGGCCTATCGGCCGAGGCGGGGCGGCGCCTCGCGGGCGACGGCCGCGAGCAGGAAGCGGCCGCTGCCGCCGCTGCTGCCAGGGCCGCCGCCGTGGCGAGGAGGGGGCCGCCGTCAGCCGCCGCGGCCTGCGCCTCGCCGTCGCCAACGTCAGCCTCCGCGACGGGCATCTGCATGTTGCCAGCCGCTGACACGACAGGCCCGCGCACCTCCGCGTCGTGCAACTTCCCGAACTCGCCGCGCCCCTGGGACTGCGACTTCGGTGGGCTGAATCCACCTGTCCCAGGGGCGGGCTCCGCCGCGGCGGCGTGCAGGAAGTCGACCTCGCCGTCGAACTCTGCCACCAACTCGGCAGCTCGCAGCAAGCCGGCGGGGCTGCGACCTTGCCTCCAGCCCCCCCAGGCAGGGCACCTGCGGTGGCGGCGGGCCAGGGTCCCGCTCTCCTCGCCGCGGAGCTGGCACAGAGTCGCAGGCCTGGCGTCGTACTCCTGGACCGCTGCCTCCTTCCTGTCCTTCTCCTTGGCCTTCTCCGCAAAGAGGGCGGAGGAGTACCGCAGGGCGAAGCAGCAGCCGAACTCGTCCTGCTGGTGGTCGCCGTCGCCGTGGGGGCCCCCGTGTGACGCCAACGCTCTTTCGATCGCCCGCAGGAAGGCCTGCCCTTGCACAGTGGGCACCTGGGTCACCTCTTTCAGCGAGACGAGCTTCTTGTCTTCGAACGCGGTGCTGCCCGCCTGCTCGAACTTGTGCCCCAAGCTCCTGGCCACCTGCACCAGGTGCTTCATGTAGCCTACGTGCCCCACAGGGGGTGAGCAGCCCGCAGCAGCCGCTCTGAGCTGTCTGGCGATCCTCCCGAGGCGGAGGCGGCAACTGGTGAGGAGGCTGAGCTTCCTGACCGCCTTCCTGCGCCGCTGGTCCGCCAGCTTCTTCTTGACAGAGCGGGGTCCTTTGGCCCTGCCCTGGTACCACTCACCCTCGGAGATGCCGAACTGGTCGGTCAGGTGGAGCTCCGCGGTCTCGACGGACTCCTTGAGCCTCCTGAACGGGAGCTCGAGGTAGGCGCTGACCTCCGTGACCGCGAGATCACCGAAGGCCACCCTTCGGGCCAGGATGCGGGCACTGTGCTGGTGCCCGTCGTGGTCGGTCGCCGCCGCGCCCCAGGTCGTTGACTCCAGCACTCCGACGCCCTCCGAGCCCGCCTGCGCCGCCTGCCCCGTGCTGTGGACGCTGCCGAAGGCGGCGCTGAAGTTGTTGCTCCTGGCCCAGCAGCAGGCGTTGGCCGCCTTCTGGCTAAAAGCGCATCGCCTCTCCTGCGCCAGGATGACGTCGTCACCTCCTCCATCCTGGATCCGCTCCATTTCCACCTTCTTCTCAGACCAGGTCGAGACGTTCAGCGTGACGAAGCTAGTTGGCTTCGGTCCCGTAGGCCTGATTTGCTAGGCCAGCTGGAGGGGCTTGGCCTGCGGTCGCCCAGGCTGAGGCTGGGCCGCAGGCTGCTCGGTTGCCGCAGCGGCCGCGGGGCCGCCAGGCGGGCGGCTGCTCGCCGCCTTGGGGCTCCGAACCTCAGGGGGTCTCACTCCCTCGCCCGTAGCCTCGTCAACTTGAATCGGGTACCCACTATGGCATGTGGGCCCCTGGCTAGGCTGAGGACTGCCAGTCCTTCGGTCGGGCCCAGCCAAGCCAGCCGCAGCGCTTGGCTCTGTCCTGCTGCTGAGCGCCTCGAACTTGGCGTCGTGGCGCACGACGCCGAAGCGCCGTTCCTGGCGCAGCAGCGGCACAATGAAGGGAAGTTCGGCCCAGGCGTCGGTCGCCACGTTGGCCGCCTTGTAGGCGGGCAGGCCGCCACCCGGCGCCGCCGCCGCCTCTGAGCGGCTGGGCGCCGCCGCCTCTGTCCCCTTCAGCCCCAACAGGGGCGGGCGGCGCCGCGCTGTCGGGGCCGCCGCCTGGCAGCAGGGTGCTACGCGCGGGCCAGGCCGCTGCCAGCAGCAGCGCCAGCAGGAGGTGGAGGGGCCGCCGCAGCGGCCTTCTGGTCGGCAGCGCGCTGGCGGGCCGCCTCGTCTGCCGCTCGGCTCTCCATCGCTGCCGCTGGGGGAGTCCCAGCTCCAGGCGCAGCGTCTGCGGCGGGGGCGGCGGGGGCAGCAGGGGCGGCCGCCTGCCCTGCAGGCTGCGGCGGGGCGCCCGCGCCCTGCACGGGGGTGCCAGGGGCCACGGCTGCTGCAGGCCCCTCCTCGGTGCGCTTGCGCTTCTTGGCCACCTCCTCCGCGATCTGGCGCTTGATGCGCTGCTGGTGCTCCTGGCAGTTGCGCTCGAACGTAGCCTGCGCGCCCTGCATGATCTGGAGCCCCTCATCGCAGAGGCGCCTGAGGGCGGCCTGCGCCTCCTCCTCCAGCTCGGCGAAGTTGTCAAACGACTCCGCGTCAAAGTTGAAGGTGAGCTGCCTCGCGCCGTCGGGCTGGGCTCCCACGACGCCCGCCGCTTGGGCACGCTGGCGCAGGAGGGCGTTCTCCTCCTCCTTGGCCTCCGCGAGGCTGCCCGCAGCCTCGTCGCGCCAGCCGCGGCATTCAGCGAGGTGGTCCTCCGCCGCCACGAGCGCGTCCGCCGCCTGATCCAGCTGGCGCTGGAGGTTGATCCGCTTCGCCGTGGCCGACTCCAGACGTTGCTCGAGCGGCTTCGGCACTGGGGCGACCGCGGGCGCGACAAAGCTCCGCGCTTCGCGGACCGCCTCCTGCAGCCTGGCTGCGATGGCTGGGTCCCCACAGGCGAGGAGCGCGTCGAGCTCGCTCTCGGGCAGGGCCGACCAGGGGGCCCTCGGGAAGGCGCCTCCGCCACGGCAGCCCGCGCCACCCCCGCCGCCGCCACGGGAGACTGCACCGCCGCCACCACGGTAGGCTGCACCGCGGCCCTTGCCGCCCTGACCGTCCTTGGCTCCATTCTTCGGTGGGCCTCCGCCGCCGCCGCCGCGATGTGCGAGTTGGGGTCCGCCGCCGCCACCGTCCGCCCAGACCCCAACGCGGGGCGAAGGCTTCGAGGGGGCCAGCTCCAGCCCGATCCCGCACAGCCAGCACTTCGCGTTCGAGCGGAAGTTCCAGCGGTACCGGCAGCCCGTGCACACGACGAAGCCAGGCACGGCCTTAGGCCCCATCGCTGGTACGGTCGGGCGCGCTGCTCAGCTGCGGGCAAGCAGCAGGCAGGAGACGGCGGGGGCGGACCCGCCGACTCAGAAGAAGACTTGACCCGCAGGTCCTGGAAGGTGCTGCTGTGGCAGCTGACACAGTTAGGAAAGGAAGGTGGCCTCAAAGCGGAACCTCCCTCGCGCTCAGAAGTCGCCCCGAAAGACTCGCGGTCGTCGGGACGGTTCATGGCCTTGAGCCAAAATGGCTACGGACCGTGAGGGCATTGGATAAGGAAACCTGGAATAAGGAATCCAGGGCCTGGAAGCCGGTCCAACTCTGACCGTAGATCGACCATGGATGACACTGCCACCCTCATCAGATAAGGAATCCCCCGGGGTCTGAAGCCTCCTGGGCCCATTCCTGAACGAATGCCCCCACGGCATAAGGAGGCCTAAATCCGTGGATGCCGTGACAATGGACACTCTAAAAACCCGATCGTTGCATTATACATGTGTTTTAATATGTGTAAAACGTGTTCTAACAATGTTTCAAACATGTTTTTACATATGTAAAGCCCGTTTGAAACATTTGTAAGACATCCGGAAAGTATTTGGCAGCATGCTTCCTCTCCATGAACCGAGACGCCGGGCCGGTCCCGTGGAGCGAAGGGGCCAAGGCCCTCTCCGTGGGTGTCCGCGCTGCAGAGAGCAGAGAGGGCGCCCGGGGGGGTGGGGGGGAGGGGGGCGGGAGGGCCGGGTGGCCAGAGGGAGGCGGGCAGGGGGGAAGCGGGGGAAGCGGGGGGAGGAGGAGGGGCGAGACGCCCGAAAGAGGCGGGGTCTAGGCATGAGGGCCGTCGATGTCGACGTCGACGACGGCGGCGGCGACGACGACGGCGACGACGACGAGGGGAGGGGGAGGGAGGGAGGGAGGGAGGGAGGGAGGGGGCGTGGGAGGGAGGAGGGAGGGTGGATGGCAAAAGGTGGAGAAACATGAACGGGAGGAGGGGGGAGGAGGGCGAAAGGTGGCTTCTGCGAACAAGGATGTCGGGAAGGGGCGAGCAAACAGTAACATAACCGAGGCTTGGGACGAGGAGCCCCTCGGGTGCGGCCTAGCCGACCCCTGGCAAACCATCCCCTTCCGTGACGCGCCCCCCTCGCCTCTCGAGCTTCCTTCTGGCCGTACACACACGCACGCGCGCACACACACACACATCCGCACACACGCACACACAAACACACACACAGACACGCACACGCATACACGCACACACACACACGTACACACAGACACACACACACACACACACCACGCACGCACGCACGCACACGCACACGCACACGCACACGCACACACACACACACACACACACGCGCACACCACACACACACACACACACACACACACGCACGCACACTCACCACACCAACAGCACACCACACGCACAAATAACGCACAAACACACACCCAAAAACACACACACCACACACGCACACCACACAACGCACACAACCACGACACGCACACACGAACACACCACACACGCACACGCACACGCAAAACCACACGCCACACGCACAACACAGACACACACCAAACACACCACAACACTCGCAACGCACACACACGCACACGCACAACGCACTCCCATACCGACAACCCACCCACCCAGACACGCACAACCAACACGCACACAAAAAACGCGCACACCACACACACGAACGCACGCACGCACGCACGCACGCACGCACGCACGCTTGCACGCACGCACGCACGCACGCACGCACGCACGCGCACGCACAGGCACACAC